CTGGCAGGCTCAGCTGGTCAGAAATGCAGCCCCCCAGCCCCCTGCATGTTAACAAGCCCCCCTGGCTCCTTCAGAAGCATTCCCCGAAGGAGGACAGTGTGGCCCCAGCCCCGTAATGGGAGGTGGGGGAGGGCAGCGGGTGCCAGGCTGCTGTGCTGGGCACAGCTCACACCTCTTCCCGTCCAATCACTGGCCGGAGAGCCCAGAAGTTCAGTTACAGCTCATCTGGGGAGAGGGAGATTATCAAATTGAACCGAAGATGGCAAATTAGTTACTCTCATGCCTCGGCCTCATCGAGTGCCTCTGAGAACTGGCGCTTGCCCGGAACCTCCCCTCCTGCCTCCTCCTGGAAATGACACTTGTCTCCGATTTGGGCGCCTTGTTTTGGCAGGAACTTGGGAAGGGCCTCGATTCACACACAGAATTGTTCTAAGAGGCACATGCTTCGGATCAAGGTGCCACCTACGTCCCTGCTACCCAGGGCACCCGGAGCAAGGGTGCTGGGCAGTGCCTGGGTGGGGGCTGGGGAACCAGAGGTAGCACCGTGCTGGTCAGACCTGCCAGCGGGGGGTTCACCCTGGAGAGGGGAGGCCAGGCCTGGGCCCTGCAAGGGCTCCGAGGACAGGAAGGTGCTCTTGTGAGGGAGCCGCTTGCTTTGAGGCTCCAGGAGGTGACAATAGAGGGAAGGAGGTGGGTTTCAGATGGTGCTTAACAAAAATTTCCAACCAGAATGGCTTCTCTAAAGTGGGCCAGGAAAGCCCAGTGGGGCCACGGCTGAGAAGGATGGCCTGCTACCCCTCCGGGTGCATGAGTAGCAGGGACGTAGGTGGCACCTTGATGGGAAGCATGTGCCTCTTAGAACAACTCTGTGTGTGAATCGAGGCCCTTCCCAAGTTCCTGCTGGTGGGGCTTGGCTCAGACCTGGGGGGCAAATCCCACTGTCTACAGGGCCTGACAGGGTCCTATAGGGTGCAAAGCCAGCTGGGTGGGGACCGATGGGGTCACACCTCCTCACCTGTCGGTATGTGGGAGGTGGACCCTGGGGCTGCGGGACCTGCCTTTCCAGGACGTGGTATGTGCCAGGGACCAGGGATGTGGGCTCTGGAGCTTGGGGCCAGGGTTTAAATGTCACTCCTCGAACACCTGTCTGTGGCTCAGTTCCCCACGTGTGAGATGCAGATAATAAAACCTCAGAGGGTTGGCCGTTAGGAGTGAATTTGTCGGCTGTAAAGCTCCTGGAATAGTGTCTGGCACACAGAAAGTACCGTGATAAGTTTAGTTTGTAAAGCGCTGGCCACAGATGAAAGGAAAGAGGAAGACAGCTTGTGGGCTCAGAACCCCAACATGCCAGAGGCCGCGCCTGGCCCGTGGGTCCCCTTGCCTGCTAAGCAGGTGGGCTCTCTGGTTTCACTTGTGTTTCTTAGGGTGAGTCAGGCTCCCTGCAACAGGCCTGGAAAGCTGCAAGTGAGTCGTGAGCTTTCCCTCTGAACCCCCATGCGGTGGCCCAGGGTCCTGGTCGCTGGGTGGATGGACCCCCGGTACCTTCTCAGATGTCTGTCCCTCTGGACTCTAACAGGGCAAAACCAGTGGGGTCTCAGAAAGGCCAGATTCCCATGCCGAGGTCTGCTGGGGACTAGAGGGGACAGTTGGGTGGAAATGTTGGCTGACAGTGAGTGGGGCATGCGGGGGGGTGACCTCAGGGAGGTGGCCCGGGGGATCTGGTCCAGGCTGCGTGGTGTTGTGAGGAGAGCTCTCTGCTTAGAGTCCCATGGCCTGGGTTCCTGTCCTTTCTTTCTCAGAGTCTCTGTTTTCTTATCTGTAAAATAGGCTGAGCCACCCTCCTCCCAGGGACGACCTGAAGAGATGTCTCAACAAGGTGCTGCTATTTAGGGGGCTGTGTCTCTGGAGCTTAGGTGAGGGGGGTGGCCCTGGGGACAGGGGGCTCTCTGCAGAGGGCTGGGGTGGTGGCGCAGCCCAGGGTGTGGGACAGACCTTCTTGATTTTCTTGATGTCACTGTCCTCGTCGTTGGGGGTGACGGTCTGGGTGGACTGGATTCGCTCGTTGTCCTTGAGCAAGGACGCGATCTGCAATGGAAACAAAGGTCAGCCACCTAGAGGGTCACCGGCCATCAGGCACCGTGTGGCAAGTGGGTGCCCTGCAACTTCCTCCTTGAGGGTTGGCGGCACTGAAGCCCAGGTCCCTCGCTCTGTCCACCTGGGGTCCTGACAGCTGCACGCTGGCTCTGAGTGACCTTGGGCGATGCCTTCCTCTCTCTGGGCTGCAGGCAGCCACCTGGGAGCTGTGGCCTGAATCTGTGAATCTGCTTTCTACTCTCCAACCATCACTCCCTTCGCTCTTGGCTTTTTATTCTGGTCAGATAGATGGAACATAAAGTTTACCATTTTAGCCAGTTTTTTTGGTTTGTTTGTTTGCTTTTGTTAATCCACACCTGAGGGTATTTTATCTATTGCTTTTCAGAGAGGGTGGAAGGGAGGGAGGGAAGGGGAGAGAGAGAGAGAAACATCGATGGGAGAGAGACACATGGGTTGGTTGCCTCCTGCAGGAGCCTCAACCAGGGCGGGGGAGTGAACCTGCAACCCAGGTACATGCCCTTGACTGGGAATTGAACCCGAGACCCTTTGGGGGCAGGGCTGATGCTCTAACCACTGAGCAACACCAGCCAGGGCCATTTTAGCAGGTTTTAGGTGCACAGCTCAGGGGCATTAAGAACATTCCCATTGTTGTATAGCCATCCGGATCTTCCATCCATCTCCGGAACTATCTCACCTTCCCAAAGCGAGCCTCTGAACCTATTCAGCATTAACTCCCCCTCCCTCCCATAGCCCCTGGCAACCACCCTTCTCCTCTCTGTCTCTATGACCTTGACATTCCAGGTCCCGCATCTCAGTGGATTCAGTGTTTGCCTTTTAGTGACTGGCTTGTTTTACTCATAATCACATCCTCAGGGTTCATCCCTGTTGTAGCAGGTGTCAGAAGTCCCTCCCTTTTTTACGGCTGAGTAATATTCCACCATCTGGAGAGACCACATTTTGCAATCCATTCATCTACTGATGGATACTTGGGAGTCCCTTTATTTTCCAAACCAACCCCACTGGCAGCCCAGTCTGTCGCCAGAGAACGCAGGTGGCTGGGGCAGAGTCCTGTGGGCGTGGCTGTCCCCGCCCTGGGCAGGCCTGAAGCACTTCTCTAACCAAGAGCCCTCTTTGGGGGCATGACCTGGAAACCACTGGCCTAGAAAATGGGTCAGCCTGGGAATGAATGTCAGAGCGACCCTAAAAACCTCCGTCTATCTGCCTGCTTTGGGGGTCAGAGAGGTGGGCACAGCTGGCACCCCGGGACTCCTCTGGTGGACAGGCCAGGGCCCCTTCCCTTTACCCCCGAGTTTGCACGTCTTTGCTGGGTGCCCTTCACCGGGGCTACCTCAAGCCTTGGATTTTCCTGTTCAAATGCAGCACCACCCATTTACTCTCCATCTTTGCTGTGAGCTCCATGGCGGGAGGACCGAGACCCTGCATTCCATGCCAGGCACAGGGCTGGGCACTCAACACATACTGATGGCCACATTAATAAATGAATTTAAAAAAAAAACCTAAAAAAACCCCACACTCAGAGCAACCAAAACCTCAGCCACAGGAAAACACCACAGTCACTCAGCTCCACACAACTAAAAGTAGCAGCTCAAACCCTAGTGGGGAAGCTGAGCTGGTTAGAGCATCGTCCCGATACGCCAAGGTTGCAGGTTCGATCCCTGGTCGGGGCCCATACAAAGATCAGCCAATGAATGCATAACTAAGTGGAACAAATTGATGTTTCTCTCTCCCTCCCCCCTCTCTTCCTCTCTCTCTTTCTTTTTTTAAAAAAATCAATAATTTTTGAAAGCTTAAAGGTAGCAGCTCAGGGAAACATAGGGAAACTGCCACAAAGCTGGCTCCCCCTTCAGGCCACCGACTGAACTGCAGACCGAGTGGGCTCCCGCAGTTGAGCGAAAGCACTTTGAGAGCAAAATGGAAGTTACCCGCTCTCACTCCGGGTTGCTAAAATTACCTGCCGATGCTTGAAGAGCGGCTGAAAATATCTGACTGAGAAATATTCAGTGCCCACAGGGGAGCTGCTGGCTTTTCTCTCCCCAGCTGCCCCGCCCCCTTTTTCTTCGATTCTCTTGAGAACATTTGCACATTGAAATAAAAGCTGATTCTTTGATGTGGACTCTCAAGGCTAAAGGAGACACACACACACACACACACACACACTCCTGGGGAGCTCAGAGACTCGGGCACACTCAGTGAACACCCTCAGCCTTGGCCTGATATTGTCACCTCCACGCCAGTCTGCTTTCTTTGCAAGTTTTGGGATTTGCATCCAGTACCCTTTTGCCTTTGTTGGGTGACTTGTGTGTGTGTGTGTGTGTGTGTGTGTCTGTATTTAAAATTGATGGTGCTCCTTTCAGAGAGAGGCATTCCAGGACATCTACTCAGCAGGGACCAGGGCAAAAAATAGATGCAATTAGGCCAGGAGCTCTGCAACACGCTCAGGCAATACGGGCAGCCCTGGATCCTTATTTAAGCATCAGGCCGGGTGGGCAAAGCTCTGCAGAGCTGGGAGCCTGGGGACCAGGCAGGGGTCTGGGCCAGTGTCAGGATGGCACAGGAGCCCCTGGGAGCTCATGGAGGGAGCCTTTCTCTCGCCCGGGCAGGCCCCTTCCTGAGTGGATTGGCTTTGGACCCTGGTTTGTTTGCTTGACACCCAAGAGCTGCCTCTGTTTACCCTTGTCCATGGGTGGCCGTGGAGAATGGGGACTTTAGTTCACAGCCCAACTCGCTGGCAAGTGTCCAGCTCCGGCTGCCCAACCTGGCTCAGTGGCAGGCGTCTTGGCTGGCCACTCTCCCTCCTCCACAGAGTGGCTTTCTCGACCCTCCTTTGCCACACCCCTTGGGGCACGGTGCACTGGCCCCACCCCAGCATCCTCTCTGGACACAGTTTCTTTAGTCCAGAATGGGTTTCATCAGCAGTCACTGATGATAGGATTAATCCAGGTTTTTTTCTTTCTGGTAGCAGCCAAGGTTTTGCTCAAGATCACTGCCACATAACTCAGTTCTTTCTCCTTCCTTCAATTCCCCGTGGCCTCTTCCAGGCCCAGGAGACGCCTGCCCATCTCTGTCTCCCTTTGTGCCAACCCGTCAGCATGTCCTGGTGGGGTCACTGTGTTGGGTGCCGTCCTTAGCAAGGTTGAGACAGCGCTGGAGGTTGAGAAGTCAGAAGGGTCCCTGGAGGGGCTCTCAGCCTCAGAAGTGGGCCCGACACCCACAGAGACAATCTTTATAATCCAACAAGGCAAGGCCAGAACAGAGATGTGCACATACTGCAGTGGGAGGTTTCACCACAGTCATAGAAAGGGCTTTTCCAGAAGAGGTTTTGCAGGGCAAATAGGAGCCCAACAGGTGGCTATGGAGCAGTAACTTGCAGGGCAGGCAAGGCCAGGGGTCTGAGCCAGAGATTCAGACCTGGGCCCAGACTCCAGCCCTGGAGGTGATCTTGGATAAGTCCTTTCCTTTGTGGACCTCAGTGTCTTCAGATACTTCCCAGCTCTGACCTCCTAAGATCTCGTCTCTGTCACGAGGCCACTCATTATTTTCTGGCTCCTCAGTGCCTCCTGCCACCTGATGGCCCACTTCCTGAGCAATGGGCTCTGTCTCCAGCTTCCTGGAGCCCATTCAGAGTGAACAGGTGCCCTGTGCCCTGTGGGATGTGAGTGTTCGAGAGACACAGAGAGACCTCAGCCAGAGAGCTTGACCAAACCGGCCTTTCAGAGTCTCCTTGAAAAAAATCTTTGCTTGGGAGGGTGATGCACTCAGTTGGAAGCATTGCTCCAAATCCCACAAATGGATTTCTGCTGCCACCCTGCCACACGCACACACACGCTCTCACAACCGACCTGCTTTGTGCTCCCAGCACCGGGGGGTTCCACCCCTGCACCCACCCATTCTCTGCCCTCCAAACCCCCGAATCCCTTTCAGGCAGAAGCAACACAAACCCACACCCACATTGGCCATAAAATGACTCACTTCCTGACTTGGGTCCAGAGCTAAGCTCTATTCTCGAGCTAACAGCACTCCGTGAACCACGCTCAGACCTTAGGGGTGGGGACGTCTGCTTCTCTAGTGTCCACCGCAGAGCCCGACGTCACTGACTCAGGAAGCCCTTACTGAACACCTACTATGTGCCGGGCTGGGGGGCAGGCTGAGGGTGGGAACCCATGGGAGCAGAGCAGGGAGTCCCCAGGAGGGGGCCTTTGAGCCTGGGAGGGTCTCCCCGGCAGGAACGCATGGGGGCTGGCGGTCACCTCTGCCTTCAGCCGCTCAATCTCGATCTCCCCGTCCTCGATCTGCTGCCGCAGCTGCTTGGCCACTGTCTTCTCCGTCTCCACGATCTGCAGCAGGTGCAGGTACTTCTGCATCAGTGCTTCATGCTCCGTGGCCAGCGTCCGGTAGCTGTGGACAGATGGCCGCGGCAGCAGGTGAGACACAGCCACCTGGCCCCTGGAGATCCAACCAGAGCAGCGCTCACCTCCCACTGCGCTCAGGAAAGGGGCCCGGCTCCCAGGCCCGGCGCCTGGGCCTCGGCCGGACTGCTGCTGCTGGTCACCCAGCCCCCTCCCCACTCTCATCTCACACTCTGACCTCTGGTTCCTCTCACAGACCCCCCCCCTCTGCCCCCCACACCCCAATTACTATAGCATTGGCCAGACTGATTTTTGGGGGGTGGAGGGGTCCAGTTATTTGTGTCCCGATTATCAGAATGTGGAACAAATTAGGATTCTAGAATGCTTCAGAGCCCCTCACATACATAATGTCATGTGTTTCTCAAAACTACCCTGCTCTCGGTTCTAGTTAACTGCTGGGGAGTCTGAGGTCCAACTGCTGCCCTGACTGGGGGTCTCCCCACTCGATTCCATACTCCAGGACGTCAGCAGTTTCCACTCCAGATCGTACCTCTGATGATCATGCTACACGCCCCCCTGGGTGTAAATCCTTCAGTGGTCCCCCCTGTTCACAGCAGAGAGATCAGACATCTCGGCTGGGTATTCCAGACCGGTTATGACCGGGTTCCAGCCCAGTGTCCAACCTCATGTACCTTCTGACGCCCAGACCTTTTCTCTTCATTACTCTTGGAATTTTCTTTCTTATATCAGTGCCTTTATTTAAGGCTTTTGAGAGTGGAATCGCTCATATCTAAACTCATTAAATCTGGTCCCATTTCCCCTACTCAGGTCAAAAGTTACCCTATTTCCAGCTTCCCCAGATTCTCCGATTTCCCTGCAGATGAAAGTAACATCTCTCTCCCATGCTTCTTTGTTCTTAACCAGTCTCCATGCTCCAGAGTTGTTTGCACATATGTTTGATATCTTCCTAACTGGACTGTGATGTCCCCGGGGGATACCTACACTGCGCCCATCTCTGTATACCCAGCTCCACACTCACTCTGTTGGCTCATGTCCGATAATCTGGCTTCCAGAGCTAGACTAGACACTCCTTGAGGACAGGGATTGAGACAGCCTTACCTCAGGGCCAAGGTCAGTGCTATGGCTAAAGGGTTTCTGGTGAGCTATCTTGATCCAAAGATCAAGGAAGGGCCCTGGGATCCATCCACCCATCCATCCATCCATCCACTTATCCCCCCATTCACCCATCCATCCATCTACCACCCATCCACTCATCCACTCATCCACCCATCCATTCATCCATCCATCCACCCACCCATCCACTCATCCATCCACCCATCCATCCATCCATCCACTTATCCCCCCATTCACCCATCCATCCATCTACCACCCATCCACTCATCCACTCATCCATCCACCCACCCATCCACCCATCCATCCATCCATCCATCCATCCATCCATCCATCCATCCATCCACCCATCCACTCATCCATCCATCCACCCATCCACTCATCCATCCATCCACCCACCCATCCACTCATCCCCCCATTCACCCATCCATCCATCATCCACCCATCCACATATACTTTCAACACCTGTCCACTTACCATTCATCTGCCCTCCATCCATCTTCCTTATATAAACTCAACACCCATCCTTGCATCTACCTCCTCTCTATCCATTCATTCATCTTTGCCTTCTTCCAACCCAGCCACCTTAGCTGAGCACCTGTCTAGGACTTCATCAGGCCCTGGGGATACAAAGAGTTGCACTGGTACCCACCCCCAGGAGCTTACATTTTACAGGGAGGCAGACACAGAAACATCAATATCCACCAAGCCAGAAAGATCTACTGCTCGGAGGGGCGGGTCTGGGTGTCCCTGCCCCCAATGGACATCAGTTCTGCCAGGGGATTATAAACTCTGTGGCAACAGCCCGGCCACAAGCCCATTATTTCCCCAGGAGCCCTGCAGACTCAGTCTGGCTTGGAGCCTCCATTCTCTGCAGTAAATGCTCTCCTTCTGCTTTCTGCTGGGGCCCAGGGAGTCTTCCTCATCAGAGGGGCATACGCTGTAGGGAGTGAGGGGAGCAGCAGGGCTACAATCCCTGTGTCAAAGCTCAGAGAGTCTCAGGTGAGAAGGAGGCCCCGAGGGCACAAAAGACTGGTTCATGGTAGTGTAGCAAATGAGAAGCTGCAGCCCGGGCTGGTGTGGCTCAGTGGTTAGAGTGTCTGCGGGTGCACCACGGGTTTGAGGGCTCAATTCCCGGTCAAGGACACGTACCTGGGGTTCAATCCCTGGCCCCAGTCAGGGCGAGTGCAGAAGGCAACCAATCGCTATGTCTCTCTCACATCGATGTTCCTCTCTCTCTCTCTCTCTCTCTCTCTCCTTCCTTCCCTCCCTTCCACTTTCTCTAAAAATCAATGGAAAAGATATCCTTGAGTGAAGATTAACAACAACAAAAAAATTGGTGGTTACATCTGGCTTAGCCCCCTGGTGGCCTCAGGCTGTGGTATCTATAACACCCTTCACCCAACCAAACGGTGCTCGGTTCCCTAATAGAAAAAAAGGAGTGAGCCTGGTTGAAGCGTCTGGGAGGCGGCAGTGGTGCCCCTCACAGCCTCTTGTTCGCTGTGGCATCCGGGGAGGCACAGACCCCGAGCTCCCTGGCTCTCAGGGAGACCCTGTCACACTTCTGTCCCCCCTCCTCTCCTCTGCCAAGTCCCTCTTCCTAAGGGGTGGGTTTGCCAGATGGGCCCTCGGATTCAGGACCTGGCCCATGGGGCTGGGGGAGACCTACCTGGCATGAGCGATGGCCGCCACCCATTCGTCACAGTCCTTTGCATCCTCGGTCCTCAGCTCCAAAGCCTTCTGGTTCTCATGGCTGAAGTTCACCGTGAAATAATGCTGCACCCAGAAGAAATACCTGGTTACCGGGGCGTCTGTGGAACCAGCAGCGCCTGCAAATCTAGCTGTTTGCAAAGCGCTCGTTGCCCCATCAGCCGGGCACGGATTCCTTATTTGCGGCTGTTGCAACGCCCATCCAGGCAGCATGCTCAAACTCTTGATTAAGGCAGGCTTTGTGCGACGAAACAGAACCCATGCTTAGGGTATTGTAAGAACCCACAAAGCCCTATTTGCCACCAAATTGCAAAACAGCCAGTTTGGCCAGCTGGTGTGGCTCAGTGGTTGAGCGTTGACCCATGAACCTGGAGGTCATGGTTTGATTCCCGGTCAGGGCACACGCCTGGGTTGTGGGCTCGATCTCCAGCAGGGGGCGTGCGGGAGGCAGCTGATCGATGATTCTCTCTCCTCATTGATGTTGCTCTCTCTCTCTCCCTTCCTCTCTCTGAAATCAATAAAAAACACACACATTTAAAACAACAACCACCAACCAACCAACCAAACAAAACCCAGCTAGTTTTCCACCATCTGGTGTGCTAGAAGGAAGGCAGGGAGAACACGCAGGAACTGGGTACCCATTCAGTCCACCTCAAGTTTAAGTCACTCCAAAAAATTCACTAAGCTCTCTCCTAGGTCCTGGGGTCAGAGCAAGAAGGAGACAGACATGGTATGGTCTCCACGAGAGCCCACTGGAGGAGATCACCTCTGTGTTGGGTGCAGGTGACTGGCTCAGAGCTGGTCACTTGCTGGGCCTGTCCCCTAAGCTCCCAGGGAGCAGAGGATCCAACGGAAGACACACACCTGTAATGTTATGTGTGTTGATATACAAACACCTCTTAGAACAACGCCTGCAGCCCGTAAGCACACGGCTGCTGTAGTTACTGGGGTGCAGTGACCCTCCTCGCTGCAATGGAAGCAAAGGGCTTACCAGAGGGGGATGGAGGGGGCCGTGTGGTGGGAGTAGGGGTGCCAGGACCAGGCTGGGCATGGGGACAGGGCAGGATGGGTGGTGGACTTGGCAGAGGGAGGCGTGGGAGGAGAGAGCCAGAAGGACAATTCCCAGGCTCCTGGCTTGAGCACCTAGGTGTGTGTGGGGGGGTTGTGTGCCAAGACTGGGGGGCACTGGCAGGATAAAGGGTAGGTTTACCAGGGTGGGGTGGGGGATGGGCTTGCAGGCACGCCTGCCCATGGCCTTGTCTCTTGAGGGGCCAGCCTCAGGCCGAGAGGGAGCTGGGAGATGCCTTGGTGGGACAGGGTGGCGGGGAACATGCTGGGGCAGCCTGTGGAGGCCCCTGGGTCTGGTCCTGGAGAAGCCGGAGGAGGCAGGCAGGCAGTGGGTGGCAGGGCAGGACCTTCAATACTGCCAGTTCAGAAGAGGTCACGGCCGGGGCCCTGTGTCAGAGGGGGCGCCGTCCATGTCACTCCGTCCCTGGGTGTCCGGGTGGCAGGGAGCAGCAGTACAAGGTGGGGCGTGTGAAGTATTTTTAGCTTCTGCTGACATTTACTGTATTTCTGTTAATTGTCAATCTGGGAGGCTGCCAGGGTGCGCGTGCACGTGTGTGTGTGTGAGAGCATGTGCGCATGTGCATGTGCATGTGTGCATTTACATGTGGGTTGTTGCAGTCAATGTCTCTCACTTGTTTCCTAGGAAACAGATAACTGGGGCTATAGAATGAAATGTCATCCACAGCCTCAAATAACTGAATTTGGGAGGCTCCGGTGGGCAGTCCTCCCCCTCAAGGTGGAAGCAGGTAGAAAACGGAGCCACAGGTGGGTCCCTAAGTGCTTCCCCATCTCTAGAGAGATGCACCATCGTCTCCCAGGATCTGCTTGTTCCCACATTCCCCAACTGGAACAGGGATTATTATCTGTTTTACAGTGGATGAACCTGAGGCTCAGAGAAGCTGAGCCACTTGCTCAAGGCCGCACAGCTAGAAGGCAGAGGAGCCAGGATAACAAACCTTCACTGAGCACCAAACCGTCCGGTCAGGCACTGGACTTGGCGCTGGGATGTGGAGATGAAGGAGCCTGTGGGCAGGTGAGACTCGGGGTCCTAACTCAGAAACAAGGATCGACCTGCTGGACACCTTACACTCACCCAGGCAGCGGGAGGAGGGGAGGAGTGACTGCAAAGTCAGAGCTGAAAAGCCTGGTAAAAGCCCCGGCCCTCAGGGTCAGCCTTGAACAAGGCTCAACCCACAGCCTGGGGGCCTGCTGAGTGGTCTTGGGGTTAAACATATACTACTCCAGACCACAGATGTCACACTTGGCTGGACCTGCACCCACACCTTTCTGTCTATCATCACAGCTCCCAAGCCTGTCCCTCACCTTCCCACCAACCGCCTCTCTGGATGTTCGCCAAATGAATTCATCTGGACACATCTGCCCTCCAGCTTCTGTTTGTAAAAAACAAAAGATGCCATTCAGTTGCTCTTCTAAAATTAATTTTGAAAGGCTTTTATTTGAAGGTCTGAGTTGGATTTTCCAATTTGAAAAACATAAAAACTCAAGTAGGAAGTATCTTTTTTTGGAAAATAATTATCTCACCCTTTAGGGGAAAGAGGTTGCACTAGCTCTGCTGGATTAGTAAGATCCAGTCTTTAAGTGTATAAATTGCCAAATTTAACAGCCGGCCTGTATGTCCACAGGCCTGAATGACCTAGAACTGGGAGGCCTGGTTCAAGTTCTGACTCGGACATTTATTAGCAGTGAGAACTCGGGGCCCAGAAGAAGCAGATCCCGAAGTTTATGTTGAGAGATGAGCTCCATCTATCTGACTGTCACCTGCCAAATGAGGAGCCTATCTCGGTATGTCCCACAGCAGCTGCAGGGTTGCTGTGGTGCTGAGATGACATGCTCAGTGTGGAAAGGACTCTGTGGGCTACAGTCTGAAAAGGTGCTTGTTAGGGTGCCTGCTGCATAGGAAGGTATGGACCCAGCACTTGGAGCTTTCACAGGATGAGAACTGGACACTCCGAGCCATTTCCCACTAAGCTCAGGATGCGCAGCTTGGTTGTCATTGCAGCATAACCCAGCACATGCTGACTAGTGTGCTGGGTAGGAGGCCACCACCTCAGTCCAGTTAAGAGATGATAGCAGCCTGGACTACAGCAGTGGAGGAAGAGAGGGACATAAGTGGGTGGGTCTGAGAGAGACTCAGGAGGTCAGACTAACAGGGCTGGTGACGCTGTGGCCACCAGGGAATAAGCAGGCTCTTGTGGCAATCTTTTTTCCTTGTGTAGGGGCACCTTGCTCAGACTTTTTTAGAAACCCACAGGTTCTTTATGTTAAGATGTGCCATCCTATCTTTTTTGTTTGTTTGTTAATTCTCACATGAGGATATTTCCCCCGCCATTGGTTTTAGAGAGAGTGGAAAGGAGGGAGGGAGAGAGACAGACAGACGGACAGACACACACACACACACACACACACACACACACACACACTGATGTGAGAGAGACACATGGGTTGGTTGCCTCCTGCAAGTGCCCCAACCAGGGCCAGGGATGGAACCTGCAACCCAGGTACATGCCTTTGACTGGAAATCAAACCTGTCACCCTTCAGTTCTCGGGCTGGTGCTCTAACCACTGACCTACCCCGGCCAGGGCGATGTACCATCCTATCTTTATGCCCAGGATCAGGGCTCGGTGTTCACTTGCTTCAAACCTGCCAGAGGCTCAGGTGACCCACTGCTTCCCTGAGGAAGACCAGGTCACAAAGGTGAAAGCTGGCTCTGTAACAGCTGCAGTTTATCAATAAGACCTGCATTATGCTAGGACTTGACAAAGAGCACCGAGTTGACTACTCAGCACAAGGGCTGCCAGGCAGTCTCCATCTCCCAGATGGGGAAACTGAGGCCCAGAGAGCTTGAAGACCTTCCAAGCTAGGAGGTGGCAGAACCAGGATCCAAAGCCAGTCTGTATGGCTGGAAACCCATGGCTCTTCCCTAACACTGCCTCGTCTTCGGAGGCGGAGTAAGCAACTGCTCAGTGAATGAGCTGGGAGGAGAAGCTGGGTGCATTTGAGGGGCTGCATGGTCCCCTCTAAGTGGGGGGTGAGTAGCGGGGGTGTCCAAGGCTCCCAGCTGCTCCCTGCACAACAGTTACCCTCACAGAGGTGGCTGGGTGTTGGCAGGGCTCTGAGCCCCTGCCAAGTCCACGAGGCACAGCACTCCTGCATAAACACCGGGGGTTGAGGCCTGTTCTTGGCGGCTTGCACGCAGGCACCAGCTCCAGGCTCCCACGGAGTTCAGGGAACAGGACCCTGGGGCCCACATGCCTGCCTTGGTGAGTTTTTTTTCGCCAACGCTCATGGGAGCCAAACAGAAACAAAAGCCACCTCGCAGAAGTCACCAGACGGACGGTGACATATTTTCATTGCCGTTAATTTTTCTCTCTCTCCATTTATCTTGGCAGAGAGACGGTAAGCTCAAATAGCCCCCCACCTCCAGCCCACGTTTTTATGGGGTTCGTGGTTTAAAAGCTCAGGTTTTTGGAGTCAGGCAGCCCTGGGTTCAAGTGCAGGCTCTGCAGCAGGACACTCTGCAACCCTGAACAAGTGACTTAAACATCGCTGGGCCTCAGTTTTGTCATCTCGAAAATGGGTCAACAGCGAAAACCTCCTAGGACTGATGGGGTGAATAGGGAAGGTGCAGTAGGTAAAACACGCGCTCGGGTGCCAGGCACACAGTAGGTGCTCAAAATTGCATTGACCGGTATTTTTGGTCTGGTTTTTGAAGTGCTCTGCTGCAGGACACACGCATCTGAACCCGCGTTCGCACCCTGTCGCGGCTGGAGGACACGCAGCAGTGGGTTTTGACAAAGGTCAGTCTTTGCCAAACGTTAATAAAAGAACTTGTACGCGGCTCCCTCACCTGCACGCAGTCAGAAGCGAGGCTACTTTGATTGACGGGTGTGGCCCTCAGCACGTGCCTCCCACGTGCCTCTGTGGCGTCTGCTCACGTGACCTGGCCAGCGGACAAGGCCTTTCCTGCCCTCACGCG